CCCCCAAGGAGCGGCTTCCAGACGCTCCAAACACTTTACGATTCAGGAGGGCGGTGGAGCGGAGGCGGAACAGGGGGAGGGACGGAGGGCCAGGCCCACGTAGAAGTGGAGATACCGGGGACTGAGGCAGGACCGGCGGAGCAGGGAGCCAGGGCGGAGCCGGCAGTACAGATGGAGCAGAAGACCACCAAAGCCAGACAGCAGACCACCACGGCGGAGCAGAAGACCACCTGAGCCAGACAGCAGACCACCACGGTGGAGCAGGCAGAGCAGAAGACCACCACGGCGGAGCAGAAGACCGCCAGAGCCAGACAGCAGACCACCACGGTGGAACAGAAGACCACCAGAGCCAGACAGTAGACCACCACGGCGGAGCAGAGGACCACCACGGCAGAGCAGACGGAGCCGGGACCCATGGCAGAGACTGGGGCCTAGAGAATACAGAGACAGACAACACAGGCAGTGCATTCCTGGTTTCAGGGACCAAGGCAGGGAACACAAGAAGTTCATCAATGTTCTCTATGGCAGTGACAGAGTTAAAGGGACAGACACAGAGTGCATTATTATTCTCTGTTTAAGGGTTCAAAAACGGGGTTTTGGGCTGTGACAGACAGACAGACAGACAGACAGTTTCCTCGAGAGTGACTGGACAGACAGACAGTTCAACATTAGACTTGTGGACTGTAACAGGACATACAGATAATCCAGAATTAGGTACATGTGGGAGTTGTGGACTGGCAGACAGATCAAGACCGGGGGCATTGATTGAAACTGGACATGTAGACATTTCAGTAAGTGACATTAGACAGGCAGACAATGTAGAATTTGAACAAACAGACAGTTCAGAGGGGGATGCATTGAGTGACACTAAATTGGAAGATGGTTCAGTCTCAGACACAACAGAAGCATTTAGACAGACAGACAGGTCAGGTTAAGAGCGCTGGTTTAGGGATACCAGCTGCACTTGCCGACACCAGCGGAGAGTCCTTCATGCTGGATGCCAGACTGGGATACTGAAGTACAGTCCTTGAGGATCTGGGTGCAACAGACAGGACGTGACAAGACTTCTGACGATCAGCTGTGTCGTGACGAGACTCAGGATGATCAGCTGTGATGTGACGTGACTCTGGATGATCAGCTGTGATGTGACGTGACTCTGGATGATCAGCTGTGATGTGACGTGACTCTGGATGATCAGTTGAGACGTTACTGGACTTATGAGGAGCAGCTGTGACTTGACTGGACTCCTGACGCTCAAACTTGACTTGACTCACGAAGATCAGCTGTGACTTGATTTGGCTCAAGAAGATTAGCTGTGACTTGACTTGGCTCACGAAGATCAGCTGTGACTTGACTTGGCTCACAAAGATTAACTGTGACTTGACTTGGCTCATGAAGATCAACGATGACGTGACTTGACTCTGGCAGATCAGCTGAGGCGTGACGAGACTCTGGAAGATCAGCTGTGACTTGACATGACTCACGAAGATACTGTGACTTGACCTGACTCATGATGATCAACCGTGACTTGACTCGTCTCATGAAGATCAGCTGTGACTTGACTCGACTCATGACGATCAGCTGTGACTAGACTTGACTCAGGAAGATCAGCTGTGAGTAGACTTGATTCAGGAATGGAAGCTGTGACATAACAATGAAGAGTTAACACACAGCAGAGCATAGTCCATAAACTGACTTAGAGATGAACGCGGACCCTCGTGAATGAGTTTAGACTTTAGTGGTTGATTAATGCCCTCACAGAAAAAGTCTATCAACACACAATCCGGGAAATCAGAGTAATAAGCAATGTCTAGATACTCTTGAATATGACTCTCAAGCTATCGTGTGCCCTGCTCGAGAGCTAATAGCTTTATAGCTGTGTCCATTCCTGGCCAGAGTCCTTTAGAGAAGCTGCTGGATCCTCGTGTGGCTGAGTATTCTGTTACGAGGCTGACAAGACGTGAGACAGAAACTCAAACTAGGACCGGGAACTGGCTCCGTAAAGTAGCTATCGCACGATGAGCGATAAGCGATAAAACAGCATAGATGCTAAACAATACGGCAGTTTGAAAGGGATCTGAGTGAGTGTTATATAGTGAATGTGTGATTGGTTACAGCTGTGTGCAATTAGTGCAATGGATGATGGGATATGTAGTCCGGGATGACATGCAACAGTTTGTGTAGTGCGAGAGTCAATGTAATGGAAGGGTGACCTCTGGTGGTGATCGAATGGAAGTCCATGGACAGGATTCGTGACACAGAGTGTGTCTGCCTCCCGAACAATGCTAGGTAGTGTAGCATTTGAACCAATCAGACACACAACTATTTGTTATATTTAACAAATAATCTCTAATGCCCCCTTCACCTAACCAAAGGGCCAACTATGATACTGTTCTTGTATATTGTCTTTTGAATTGTATACTGTTTTGTGTGTGTGTTATGATAGGTCACTAGTTAATATAACCCCACCGATACTATGTTTGGTCTCTTTGAATTTGTCTTCTGATGATCAAAACAAGAGTGTATATTATATGTTGGTACATAGGCAATATATTAGTGTTCAAAGAATCTTTAGCTCTGCTGAGTCTTCTGCTAAAACCTTCTGATTGTGGCCCGTGTGGAGAGCCTGAGCCCACGTTCTACATATTATGTTTATTGGTCCCAGGTGTTCCCTCATTAATTTCCTTGAGTAGTCCCATGATTAAGTCCTGTGTGTTTCCAAGTCTAGCGTGCTGAACGTCGATCCCGTGTCCTACGTGTGTTTCCCTTGATGTCATTAATGACTGTTAAATCCTGATTCTCCTGTGATCTCCTTGTTCCTTGTTCCTCGCTCCTCACCGTAGGCACACCGTGACAGTATGAGACAATATCCTCATTATTCCTTTATCACCCAAATCTCAAGAAAATCACATACAAACCATATACTATCGTAATCGTGTGTTTATTATTTGGATATTTTGTGGGTACAGACGTTTCTCTGTGTTTGCTGTGGTCAGATATGAACGTGGAAGAGCAGGGGAGCTCGTGACAGGATGAGACGGGGCGGGATATGATGTGCAGTTATGATCGACAAGCGACGGACGAATCAGGTCTCTGTCAGTCAGCACGCGAGCACGGAAGAGTAAACGCACCGAGACAGCCCAGGGATCTGCTCATTCAGTGCAGATCGCGTAAATCAGTGGAAAATGAATAGAAATTATGATTCTGTCTGAAGAAATATGAAGTAAACATGAGTAAATATATCTATATATCTCCATGTATATGCATATTTGGGTAACACTTTATTTCGATAGTCCACTTTAGACATTCTATTAACAGTAAGTAACTTTGCAACTACATGTCAACTAGCAGTTAGTATAGTATTAGTAGACTGTCTGCTTAATATCTTCTAACACTTTCTTTGTCAACATTCTACTAGCCCTAAACCTACCCTAACAGTCTACTCTGAGAGTTAGTAGACATGTAGTTGCAAATTAATGAGAATTAGTTGACATGTAGTTACAAAGTTACTTATAATTAATAGAATGTCTAAAGTGGACTATCGAAATAAAGTGTAACCCATATTTGGACTATAAGCCCTTATTGGCGCTGTTCAGTGAAGCTATGTGAACACAAATAAACTGCTGCAGACGTGACTGAATATGAATGCGTGGATATGAATTTCTATTCCAAAGATGACATATACGGATTTATTATTTTGCACTCCAGACATAAATTAATAAATTACTGTCACTGCAACAATGTTTTATCAAAACAGTGGTCAAATATCGAAGCTAGAGTCTTTAATCTTTCTAATGATGCACAGTTGTCCAGATCAAGTAAGAGTGTGATGTTTTAACGTGCTGTGGATGTGAAACAATAATAATCTGGGGCCGTCGCCGATCTTTGACAGTTAAGGGGTTAAAATGCTCATTCAGTAACACTGCACTCACATATGTGCTAATTGACACAATCTACACTGTAACCAATTTTTATAATTTGAACAGTATTTTACTGTAATATGTACAGTAAGATACTGTAAAATATGTATACAGTATTCTACTGTAAACAGCACAGGATTATGGGAAAACATATGGTCACTACTGTATTTCCTCACATATGGTCACTACTGTATTCCTCACTACTGTAAATCCATTTACAGTAAACTACTAATTTACAGTAGTGAACTTGCCCGCGAAAAACTGACCAATGGCAAGGGAGATTTCTTTTTTGACTGTTTGGTGGAAGTGGCCGTAAAAGGACAAAAGAGAAATGCACCGTTAATTTGACAAAAAGGTTTGTATATTATTTCTGTTTTAGGCAAAACTTAGATATTTTAAGATGTTTTCACTTGTTAACAGCAAACTAATATTAATTAGTTAATTACAAAAGTTAGCTCATCTGGCGAGTCATTATTTAACCTTAACAGCAAATTAAGTTTAAATACTGAGGTAAAGTGCGTTAGGCAACACCACTGTTTCAGTGGAGATTTTAAACAGTATTTTCTAGTACTTCTTTTGTTTGTTATTTTCAGATTTCTAGTCTGGATGTAGTCTACAACGTCTGAGGTGTATTTTTCCCGCCCATCCACTCTAAACCATCTTGATATTGTGAGGATCACAGCCGAAGAGGTGGGACGCGAGCCGCGAAATAGCCCACCATCTCCGCACTTCTCACATCTATGCACACAAATGGAGGGAAACCATTCCTACGCTATCATATGGTAATTTACAAGAAGTGGGAACGCGAGAAGCGGTACTGCCCATCTACTTTAAACGTCTTGATATTGTGAGGACCACAGCCGAAGAGGTGGGACGCGAGCCGCGGAATAGCCCACCATCTCCGCGTACTTCTCACATCTGTGCACAAAAACCGCTATCACATGGTAATTTACAAGAAGTGGGAACGCGCGAAGCGGTACTGCCCATCTACTTTAAACCGTCTTGATATTGTGAGGATCATAGCCGAAGCGGTGGGACGCGAGCCACGGAATAGCCCACCATCTCCACGTACTTCTCACATCTATCCACACAAACGGAGGGAAACCCCCTTGTGGTAAGCACTGCAGGGCATAAAAACTGGGAACGCGAGAAGCGATATAGCCCATCGACTTCGACCGTACAATATTGTGAGGATCACAGCCGGGCAAGTGGGACGCGAGCCGCAGAATAGCCCAGCATCTCCGCGTACTTCTCACATCTGTGCACACAAACTGTGGGAAAACTTTCCCTGCGCTGTCATACAGTAAATTAAAAGAAGTGGGAACGCAAGAAGCGTACTGCCCGTCTACTTCAAACCATATAATACTGTGAGGATTACAGCCGAGGAAGTGGAACGCGAGCCGCGGAATAGCCCACCCTTCTCGCATATATCTCACAGTGTTAAGTGCAATACAGAAGGGGAAGCCCTGCCTTATTGCATAACAGATTAAGAATGCAAGCTGCAATACTGCCCATCTTCTCAACACATGTCACAGTCTTGTGCAGTACGGAGGCAACCTGCCTCATCCCGTTTACTTGAAAATAAGAAGTGGGAAGCAAGAAAGATTCTGCCCAACTTCTAAACCCATAACACAATTCGTATAACAGAGAAAGCTGAAGGAGTGGGACGCGATTCGCGGAATAGCCCACGTTCCTCAACACATCTCACAACCTAACACTGATACAACGGGAAAAACCGCCATTGTACTGGGAAACTACGAATTGAAATTAGTGACTGATCCCCACTACATAACAAAATTTTAGTAGAAGAAAAATTATTTTCAAGTTGCAAACGACAACATAAAGAAATCAACGTTCAACTGCGGCAGTAGGGGCTTATTAACAAAAGCTAACAGTAAATCAAATCAAAGCCTGGACTCAGGGCTTCGGCTTGCCTTTCTTGGCTTCGATAATTTCCCTGAGGTCCTGTCTCTGCCTCCGGCGAGGTCGCTGCCCAGCGCCCCGACTCCTAGGAGGCGGGGCTCTAGCAGCGACGCTCGCCTTCTGACTTTGCCGCCAGCTGGGCCCGGCGGCAGGCTCAGCTTCAGGTTGTTGATCGAAAGGACGCCGCCTACGGCGAGGGATGTAGTGCTCAAACACCGCTGACTTCAGAAACACCACTGTTAAGAACATCATTTGTATTTTATTTTCAAGTTTGTGGTCTTGTCGTCTGCATCGGAGGAGTATTGGAGTCTTTTCTTGTGATTGCCATCGGAGCGGTGCTAACAACAGGTGAGCTTCCATCAACTTAACTAATGTTACTAAATTAGCCAAATTAGCCACTAGCTGCTGTTCTCCACTAACTCACAGAACAGATTGACTTTTTAAAGAGAGGAACATACTAGCAATATAGTACAGTTTTTCTCGATTGCTAAAACACTATATAAGCAGGCTTTTGAACTAAAATTTCAAAACCATAACGTAATTTTTCAAAAAAGCACACCCATTTTGCTGAACTATAAACACTATTGCCCTGCTTTAACACATGAGTCAGATTTGGTGAACTGTTACTGCAAAACTCTACACACAAATTCCTACATTTCTCAGTGTTTACACCATATGGTCATTAAGAAAGCACTAGCATTCAATACTGTTCACTCAAGTCAGCACAGCTTGAGCTCAATTAGCAAACAATTACCCAGGTGGAAACACTAAGAGTCAAAATTGAACACACATCAATCAGATCCTTCAATAAATAGATAAAAGGGCCCGAATCAGTTCACTGAGCTTTGGAACAATGGATCCACAGAGAAATGAAGGAATAGGTCGAAGAGGAAGAGGAGTTCCCCATGAAATTATCTTTGTGGATGAGGCTGGTTTCAACCTGACCAAAAGAAGGAGAAGGGGGAGGAACATAATTGGCCATCGGGCTATTGTAAATGTCCCTGGTCAGCGCGGAGGGAATGTCACTATGTGTGCAGCCATCAGCCAACGAGGGGTACTCCACCGTCATGCCATTCTAGGACCCTATAACACTATGCTCCTCCTTGCTTTCCTTGACGGTCTAAGAGAGCATATGTTCCAGCTGGACCTCAGGGAACCAGCACAGCCAGAGCAGCCTCATTACATTGTTGTTTGGGATAATGTCAGCTTCCATCGCGCTGCTCTGGTTCGTGACTGGTTTACCAATAACCCGAGGTTTTCTAACATCTTCCTGCCTGCATGCTCTCCCTTTCTAAACCCCATAGAGGAGTTTTTTTTGGCATGGCGGTGGAAAGTGTATGACCGAGAACCTTATATCCGTGCTCACCTCCTCCAGGCCATGGAAGAAGCCTACCTAGACATATCAGTAGATGCATGCCAGGGGTGGATCAGGCATGCAAGAGGATTTTACCCTCATTGCCTGGCTAGGGACAATATAGCCTGTGATGCGGACGAGATTCTCTGGCCTGACCCAGAACAAAGACGGGATGCTGAGGCGGAATTTTTTTTTTTTTACAGTTGTGCTGTGTAGTACATGAATGAATAAAAATGTGCCAATGTATACATTGGTTGTGTCTTTTGAGTTCATGTGAAAAGGTTTTTGAGCGGGAGAACCACAAGCAACATAACTTACCAGTTTTGGATATATTGTTTTGAATTTATTGCACCAGTGTGTAATACTATGTTGTAGTGTGTGTGTTTTTGAAAGCTTGTGTGTGATGTCTGAGGGAAAAGTTTGGTTTTTCAGCAAGAGTGAATGGTTTTGAGTGTAGAGCTTCATTTTGACCTGAAAATAGGATGTTTGGGGAATTGGGTGAGACGTTACGGATTTGTGTTTACTGTTTTGAGAATACAAGGCATAGTTTCAAGAAATGTGTTTAAGCAATCGAGAAAAACTGTAATATAGCAAGTGTTGCTAATAAATATTAAAAATGTTTATTTTATTAAAATGAAAATTCTGTTACTGTACGGCAGTTTCTTTCTGATCATAAACTACAGTAACACAAAAAGGATATTGTGACTGTCTGTTACAGGAGATTTCTCCAAGCAAAAACAGGATCCTGACTATGAGAGGCAGAATCATCATACAGCCAGCTGTCCATTTTACAGAAATGCAGAATTAGGTAACCCAAAATACATTTAGTTTCACACTGCATTTATATTTACGCATTTGCCAGATGCTTTTATTCAAAGCAAGTTACATTGTATTTGTAAACATTTGATTAAGTTATTCATTCCCTGGGAGTCTAACAGGGGCGGCGCCGGGGGTGAAGAGGGCTGAAGCCCCAAATGTTTCTATTACAATGTCTTGTGCGCATCAAGGTTGAGTTTTCATGCACATTAAAATTATTTCTATTAAACCAGCACTTCAACAGCAAAATGCAGCTGCTTCAGGTATCTTTAACTTACTGTAGCCTATAAATTCATAATACCGATCTCACTGTCAACATTAGATTATTGTTACTGTATAGCATTAAATCTATTAAACCAGCACTTAAACAGCAAAATGCAGCTGCTTCAGGTATCTTTAACTTACTGTAGCCTATAAATTCATAATACCGATCTCACTGTCAACATTAGATTATTGTTACTGTATAGCATTAAATATAGATTTTTAAGTAGGCCTATTATATGCACAGACTTTCTAGGAAACACACACGCATTTAGAGCGATTATATGAACAGATTTGTTAGCATTTAGCCTGGTCTGTGACAGGCTTTACTAAGTGTCAGGGCAACAAAATTCAATAAAAAAGAAGTTAATATTAATAATAGCTAATATTAAAATAATCAATGATTTAAATTGTGAAGAAAATATTGTCTTTTTGCTCTATTTTGCAAAAGCGGTTCTAAACAAAGCCCTGTTGTGCATCTCTTCTCACAGCAGTGTTTCATTACAGAATTAATCAAACTTTTTTGAACGCCTTGAATCAGTGATTCACTGACACTTTCATAAAACATAAAAACAGTTTCTTACTTCGTTCCTGAATGAATCAGCAGTTTTGAATGAACCGATTTAATAAATGACTCAATGACTCAGTCATTAAGACAGTGACTTGCTGCCACCAACTGGTAATTTTAGACTCATTTTTAAAAGTTACCATTCTGTTTTTTTCTATCATTACATATTTCTGTGTTCTAAATTTTATATTTAAAACATTAATTTCATAATATGTGTTATGCAGTTTGTAAGTGCAAATTATAATTATACTTGTCTCTTTAAAAATTAAAAATTAAAAATTAAGCCACTTAGCCAATGTAATTTTTCAGCATAGCCTATTTTATTTGAAGTGTATACCGTGTATTCTGATACATAAATTAATGTCTCTGGGCTAAGCCCCGGATATCCACTCACCGTAGAACTACCCCTGGAATCAAACCCATTATTTCAACACTTTGCTCGACTGATTGAGAATGCATTGTAAAAAAATTAACTTTAATCATTTGAATGAGATAGACTATCAACTAATTATGTGCCTTCCTTGTAGGTATGTTCAGATGTAGTATATAACATTTTTATTAATGTCAAAGTGCATACAGCACCAACAAGTTTGACAGTTGAGGCAATTCTGTAAACACTGCTTTGAATTTTTTTTTTGTTTGTGTGTGTTTGCAGGTTAATTCAGACAGTCAGCCTTTGTGGCACCAAATGCATTGAAAGGCACAGATCAGCTGGAATTCTTGAAAGAGTGTGCAGCCTGAATCCCATCCTGCTGTTTCTCATCGGAGAGCTTGTCAACTTTTATGTAGAGGTTGTGGAGGAGGAACTGAACTTAGTAAAGAAAGATTTTGTTGGGAACTCTTAGATTTCTTTGGTTTTCGTTGGCACGAAACTCTACTTGCAGGTATACTTGCTTGTCCCAGTTGGAAGTAGTATTCCTCCTCAAGAGCACATTAACTGAAAGCGAAATTGTAAAAATGATTAAAAAAAATATTAAACCTCACCTCGCCAGTCAGCTCCGCAGTCGGGTGTCTACAGTGGAAGAATTGGTGAAGTTAGGTCATCAATTAGAAAAGGACTATGAGCAGCAACTCCGATATGATGGAGGCATACACGCTAAACAGTCTATGGCACCCCGAACTCCTGTTAATCGCTCTATGGACAAGTCCCAAGGTCAGTGCTTGCGGTGTAAAGGACACCATTCCCCAGGGAACTGTCCTTATTTTACATCTCTTTCAAGTCAGCCATCCCATCAGCCTCAACCATCTCACAACAAACGACCTCCCCAAAATCCAAAACAGGGTGGGTTACCCTCCCACAACACTGTCTCAGCCACGACTGCATCACCTATCACCTCCAGTCTGAAAACGAACCAGGTTAGTGACAAACAGTTCACAGTACCTCAACAGCTAGTAGTCCCTATCACCATTGGCACCTGGAAAGGTAAAGCTATTGTGGACACTGGAGCTAGCTATACTCTTATACATGAGAGTTTATGGAAGGATCTTACACCCCATGAGAGTCTCCATCTCTGGACCTTAGGGCCTCTATACCTAGCAAACGGTGAGGCTGAAGTTCCACTTGGGTGGATAAATGTGCAGATTACCCTGCATAACACGAATATTTCTATGCAGGCTGTAGTCCTTACCTCCACATCCCTGACATATGTAGCAGTGTTGGGATTAGATTTCATTTTCCTGAGCGGCCTCCAACTTAATGTCACAGACAGGAAATACTCCGTCAAATGTGCTCCTGAGGAGGAATACTACTTCCAACTGGGACAAGCAAGTATACCTGCAAGTAGAGTTTTGTGCCAACGAAAACCAAAGAAATCTAAGAGTTCCCAACAAAATCTTTCTTTACTAAGTTCAGTTCCTCCTCCACAACCTCTACGGGCATCTCAAGATGTAGACCCTACCGCAACAGAGGATCAAGTCTTAATTGACAATGCATTAATAGAAGTGACTTTTCCTCACAATGAAGAAGTTCAGCTACGCCACCTCTTGGAATCCCATCAAACGGTGTGTACTCGCCGACCCGGACGTACGACTGTTCTTCAGCACTGTCTGTACACTTGTCATCCGGTACCCATTAAACAACGGCCCTATTGACTCACGCCTGAAAAGCAAGCCATGGTAAAGGAACAGATTGAAGAAATGTTAAAAGCTGGCATCATAGAACCCTCTTATTCAGCATGGGCATCACCAGTTGTCTTGGTCCCCAAGAAGTCTCAGGTTCTGTTGTTGACTATAGAAAGGTCAATGTCCTCACCGAGAGTGATGCATATCCAATTCCTAACATCACAGCGCCGACCCGGACGTACGACTGTTCTTCAGCACTGTCTGTACACTTGTCATCCGGTACCCATTAAACAACGGCCCTATTGACTCACGCCTGAAAAGCAAGCCATGGTAAAGGAACAGATTGAAGAAATGTTAAAAGCTGGCATAATAGAACCCTCTTATTCAGCATGGGCATCACCAGTTGTCTTGGTCCCCAAGAAGTCTCAGGTTCTGTGTTGACTATAGAAAGGTCAATGTCCTCACCGAGAGTGATGCATATCCAATTCCTAACATCACAGAGATCCTGGTGTCGCTTGCTGGTGCAGTAATTTTTTCAACTTTAGACCTTAACAGCGGTTATTGGCAGGTACCCATGGAACCTGAGAGCAAGCCGAAGACCACCTTCATCACGTCAGGGGGGCTGTACCATTTCAATGTCATGCCTTTTGGTCTGAAAAATGCCCCAGCAACCTTTCAAAGGCTGATGGAGATAGTCCTGAGAGAATTTCTTGGAACCATATGTTTCATCTATATTGATGATATCATCGTTTACTCACCATCTATGACCCAGCATTTCCTTGACATCCAGAGCATCCTTCAACGGTTGCAAACAGCTGGGTTAACATTAAACCTAAAAAAATGCACGTTTTGTCTTCAGGAGATCACCTTCCTTGGTCACGTAGTGAACGGACAGGGGATTGCCGCTGATCCAAGTAAGGTGGAAGCAATCCGCACTTATCCAGTTCCACGAAACCTTAAAGAAGTCCAGCGCTTCCTAGGATTGGCTGGGTGGTACCATCGATTCGTGCCAGACTTCTCCAGGATCGCTGAGCCTCTCAACACCCTGAAAAAGAAAGGACAATCATTTCAGTGGACGTCACAATGCCAGCAAGCTTTTGAGTGTTTAAAAGCATGCCTTACATCACCACCTATCCTTGGACACCCCAATCTCCAACTACCCTTTACAGTGTACACTGACGCAAGCGACACCGGCTTGGGCGCTGTATTAACTCAGCGGAAAGAACAAGGTGGTGAGGAAGTGATCGCCTACTCCAGTAGGACTCTAAATAAAGCTGAGACAAACTATTCTACCACCGAAAAGGAATGTCTTGCAGTGGTGTGGGCTCTGGACAAATGGCAGCACTACTTAGAACCCCGACTGTTCACAGTAATCACTGACCATTCCTCGTTGCAATGGGTGATGAGTTCCACAAAAACAACCAGTCGACTCATCAGATGGGCTCTTCGACTTCAAAGATTTGACTTTGTGATGGAGTACAGGAAAGGGAAGTTGAATGTAGCACCTGATGCTCTTTCACGAATGTACTACCTACCTGGATGTAGTGTGTACACCAATCAGAAAGAGGAGTCAGAGTTTCCAATCACCCCTGAAAGCGTCTGGGAAGAACAACATCGGGATCCTGAAATTAGAAAAATATTTCAGGCATTAGCAAAGAACGAACTCGCAGAAAAGGAACAATATGCAGTATTGGAAGACAAATTGTATCACACCACTCATCTGACCGATGGCCGAGTCCATTACCGTGTTGTCATTCCCAGCAGCCTTGTACCCAAAATTCTCCAATACTACCATTCCAATCCCATGAGTGGACATCTTGGAATTTTCAAGACGTATAAAAGAGTACAAGACGTTGCCTACTGGTCTGGCATGTGGACGGATGTCAAAAAACATGTCAAGAGGTGTGTAAAGTGTCAAACTCTTAAGAGTGACAACAAAAAACCGGCAGGAAAACTTTAACCAATTACTACATCACGACCCAATGAAATGCTGGGAGTAGATGTAATGGGCCCACTGCCAAAAAGCACCAAACAACATGAGTACTTACTCGTCTTTGTTGACTATTTTTCTCGATGGGTTGAGCTATTTCCAATGCGGAAAGCCACTGCTCAGACTATTGCTGAAATCTGGCGGAGAGAATTGCTGACTCGTTGGGGTGTGCCTGATTACATCCTGTCCGACAGAGGAACCCAATTTGTGTCTGCAGTATTCATTGAATTGTGTGCGAAGTGGAATGTGACACACAAATTAACCACTGCTTACCACCCGCAAACGAATATGACAGAAAGAGTCAACCGTACTCTGAAGTGTATGATAGCTTCCTTCGTAGAAGATAATCACAAAGGTTGGGATCTCTACCTTCCCGAGTTTCGTTTTGCACTCAATACCGCCGTTCAGGAAACAATTGGAATGTCACCCGCTGAGCTCCATCTGGGCAGGAAACTTCAGAGTCAGTTGGACAAATTGTTGCATGGACACGACCTTTCACCCTCTGATCTTTCGTATGATGTTGTTCATCAGTTGTCTCGGCTACAGAGAAAGGCCAAGGAAAACTGCAAAAGAGCTCAAACAAGACAATTGAGAAGTTATATCAAAAACAGAAGGGATGTCTCCTTCCGGGAGAAAGATCGCATATGGGTTAGAAACTTCCCTCAATCCAGTTCACAACGTCATTTTAGTGCTAAGCTGGCACCAAAATGGAAGGGACCATATCGCATAATTCAACAGTTGGGGCCTCTCAACTATCAAGTTGCACTGGAAACCAATAGGAGAAGACATGCGCACGGTGCATGTATGCAATATGAAACCTTGCTTTCCTACTGCAAGAGAAATGGAGGATCGTCCTCAGGAGGAACTCCGGGAAATTTTCCTTGAGACCTCGGACGAGGACGAAGATTTCCTTGGATTTTAGGGTGTTTTCCCTCTTAACAATTATGCGTTGTCTTCTCAAGGAGGGGAGAGTGTGGCAGAACGGAAAACTCCGTATGCCACTTGTTTACTTTCACTTTCATTTCACAACTTAATGACGTAAAGGGAGGCATGCATATCAATTAATGGGAGAAGCAAATATAAGGGCGAGGCTCACACACCTGGAGGGGAGAGACATCACAAGTGAACACAGTTCTCGTGAGAGTTGGGGAAGAGAAGTTGAGTTGGAGTTACCGTGTGGCTCGTGTTCCTGTCGGCCTGACGCTTCCAGACCACTTTACATTGAGTTCGTGAACGGGTGCGAAGTACCTTCACGCATGAGCTTCATTCAGCCATCCAAATAGGAAAGCCGGTCGAAAAAGGATCATCGTTGAGTCCACTGCGGTCCCTAGACACTCTTCATAAACCTTGTGAACACTTGGGTCAGTGACGCAAAAAGCCATTCTCTCACACAAACAATCTAGCACACGTGCCCTCAGTCCCACACGCACGTACACATGCACGTGCTATTCAAACACGCACTACCGATGTGTTCAGTTAATTTAGTTTTCTAGTTTATCGAGCCTGATTATATACATACATATTGTTTTGTTGATTTGTTTATTCCCCTTACTCCTACAAACTACTAATTCATTGTGTTTTTCTTACATGGGCAAATTGGGATTTGAAAATGGACATGTGAATCTACTGTTGAAAGCCCTGTTTCAATGAACTGTGACGTATCTACACGTATCGGACGTGTCTTATGGGTTAAAAGAATATATACCAGG